TTTGGTTTTTTGTGGTTTTTTTTTTTTTTTTGTCTTTAAAATTATTAATTCAGTAATGAATCAAGGGAATATAATTAGTGATTGCTAGACAAAGAATATGAGAATATGTGAAGATATGAATTGTGAGCGTAGCAGTCTGGCTCCATGTTCCTCACTTCTTTTGTGTATCTAGCTCTACCTAAGAAGGTTGGAGAAAGACTTGGATAGTGAAGAAAAAGAACTGCAGTAATTGCCTGGGAGAGGCAGGGACAAAGGATAAGGACTATATACTTTACTCATACACCTTGGCCTGGAACTATGCAGGTTGGTGGACAATTACTAAAGGGCAGAAGGTAAAACCAGCTCCACACAGGTGAAAAGTCAAGCCGAAAAATGTTACTTCTGGATACATCTTTACTTCTTCTGATTTATTCTTTGTCATATATTAGAGGATAGGGATAGACCTCCCCCACCCTCATTCAAATCTGTCAGTGTAGTAAGAAATATGTATTTATATATGTGTGTTCTGGGGAAAAGGTAATAGAAAATTTTGAGAGGTAAAAAGAGGTAAGGCACTCATTGTGAGAAATGATAAAATACCAGTTCTATCCAGGATTCAGAGCTGTATCTAAAACTCTTGAGTCATAAATTCCCAACAACTGATGTAGTCTCAGGTCCTTTGTATTGTTAAGTGCTGTCTATTGATCTTCCTAAAGTTGTCGTTGTTTCTGGGCCATAGGGCCTGTGGGTTTTCCTCTGTTTCCTGTAATTCTTAGGATAAAAATAGAACATCTTATTAAATTAAAAGTTCCATCTTTTTTGTAGGTTAGTGGTGCTATGGATTGAACCATTGAACCCACAACCTTAACATTGAACTATATTCCTAGTCCCTTTTTCTTTTTTATTTTAAGACAGATTCTCAATTGCTAAGCTGCCCAGGCTAGTCTCAAACTTGCAATCCCCCTGATTCAGCCTGTCAGAGTGATGGTATTATAGAAACATAAAAATTGTACAAGAATGTTCCTACTTTTGAAGCGCAGCTGTCTTTATTACTGGCTTCTTTTAAGGTACTTGGCCTCTAAAAATTATCTCAATGTTTGTCATCCAAGATGGGAAGGATAGAAATATAAATTTTGAAAAATCTTATTTGTCCCATGTGTCTGCTTCCAACTTTTGTATTTAAAATTTTGTCTCTTATGCCTCACAATTACCACTAAAAGAAAAATTTGCTGTAGTACTTCACAAATAGTGCTGTGAGGGAAATAATGCGTACTGTTAAATTATAGTTGTATCTGGTTATGGTAATTCGAGCATTCTAAGAGTCTGAGGTGGAGGATCACAAGTTCGAGCCCACCCTGGGAAGTTTAGCAAGACCTTGCCTAAAAAAAAAAAAAAAAAGGGCTAGGAATGTAGCTCAATGAGAAGGCTTTGGTTGAATTCTCAGGATGGATGGAAAAAGGGAGGGAAGAGGAAGGAAGGAAGGAAAGAAGGAAGGAAGGATAGATTATGGTAGGTAGACAAGTAAAAATATTGTGGTTGTAATTTTAGTTGTACCTAGTGATATATAATTAGCCCCTTAGGTATTACCTTCAATATGTGAAACAAAGCCTACATGTTATACAAACTCTAGTATAATGTGGGTATAAAAACTAATATCCTACTACCTGGGCGTGATGGCGCACGCCTGTAATCCCAGCACTCAGGAGGTTGAGGCAGGAGGATCGGTGTGAGTTCAAGACCAGCCTGGGCTCCATAGTGAGTTTCAGGTTAGTCTCAACTACATAGTGAGACCCTGTCTCAAAACAAAACAATATCCTTTGGGCTAGGGATTTAGCTCGGCAGTTTCCCCACCTGCTTCACAAGTGCAAGGTTACAAGTTCCATCCCCAATACCCCCCCAAAAAAATATATATCCTTTGAAGATACAGTGGCACTCATACATTGCTAATTCATCGTAGAACTAATAAGTTAAGAGGTGTATATTGAGGCTCTGAAATGTTAAACATTTAAAATTTTGAGAAGTTATTCTAAAGAAAAGAAATGAATATATAAGGAAAACAGTATACATATGTTAATTTTACATATTTTATAGTAGCTTAAAATAACCATCTAAAATAGAGATTTAATTAAGTAAATAGGACCAAGTCACTAAGAAAATCTTTTTTCTTCTTCCCACTATTAGAGATCAAACCCAGGACCCTGCACTGAATTATTTCACCAGCCCTGCTAATACAGTCTTATTCAACCATTTAAACCATAGTTATCATATATGTGTGTGTGTGTGTGTGTGTGTGTGTTTACAATATATTATAGAGATTTAATTAAGTAAATAGGACCAAGTCACTAAGAAAATCTTTTTTCTTCTTCCCACTATTAGAGATCAAACCCAGGACCCTGCACTGAATTATTTCACCAGCCCTGCTAATACAGTCTTATTCAACCATTTAAACCATAGTTATCATATATGTGTGTGTGTGTGTGTGTGTGTGTGTTTATACAATATATATAAATATATAAATATATATAAATTTATATATAAACTATTAACATGGAAAAGTGTGGTGTTTAAATAAAATGTAAAAAAAATTATATTTACTAAAGTAATATTAGTAGTGGCTTTTGAGACAGGATCTCAGTATGTAGCCCAGGCTGGCCTTGAATTCACAACAGTCCTGCTTCAGCCTCCCAAGTACTGGGATTACAATCATGAGCCAGCATATCAGGCCTATTTTTCTTTTTTCAAATATAATTTATAGATCATTTTGATAATGAAAAATACCTAAGATTATTTAGCATTTTAAAGAAGCAAATCATGGTGGTGTGCCCTCCTATAACCCTAGTAATCTGGGAGGCTAAAGCAGGAGGATTGCAAGTTCAAGCACCACCTGGGCAATTTAACAACTTAGTGAGGCCCTGTCTCAAAATATGGGATATGGTTCAGTGAGAAGGCCCTGTGTTCAGTGCCTAGGACCAAGTATATAAGCAATGGGTTGATAAATTTATAGTATTCTAACATGTTAATTGGTTTATAGAGCTATTTGCATTTCAAATGAAGTATATGACTAAAGGCAGTCTGAGCTCTATTGGCAGTTGCCAAGACCATATACCTCTTCATAAAAACTGAAAAATTGCAGCAGGGGTTTTTATTCAGTGTTAGAGCATGTGCTTAACATGTACAAGGCACAACACCAGAAAAGAAAAAAACACACTAAAAAATAACAGTTATTTTTTCTGTACTTTGTTTATACTGGTTGCACTTACAAGAAAGTTACCTATAAATAAAGAGAAGTACAAAAGAGTGAATTGTTCCTTAGGTTGAGACACCAACAAAACAAGCTACATTTGTACATGGAATCTTGAGTTTTGTGTATGTGTGTTTCATTTTGTCTTGTTTTGTTTTATTGGACAGATTGATACTATATACTTCAGGCAGGGCTTGAACTCACTATATAGCCCAGGCTGGTCTCAAACTTTTATCAGTCCTCCTAAATCAGCCTCCAAAGTGTTGGAGTTACAGAGATTTGCCACCGTGCCCAATCTTGAATTTTGATTTTAGAGGTTGCTGGAAATGAAACCGAGAGCCTTGTACATGCTAGGCAAACACCACTGAGCTAAACCCATAGTCCATAAAGTTTTATTTTAACTTTCTTATCTTTCATTTACATTAAATTTTCAACTAGATAATAGTAGTATATGTTAAATTTCATGTGACTTTCACACACATATATATGAAAAGTGGTATACATGGCCTTTTTTTAAAAAAAAAACTCATTTAATTTTCTCTCAGTATTTCGCTTAATTGCAATATCTTAGTTGATAATGTTTAAGATTTAGAAATTAGAACACCTTACCAGATCTTTCTTTTTGTATTCACACACAAAGATCACACTAGGTTGAGAAAACCTCTCGAAAGTTTAATTATGGTAACTGTATCTGCCGATTGAAACTACTTCTCTAGTTTGCAGTAATAATATACTTTAAGAAAAGTAAATTTGGTTCTGCCACCTGCCTCGCAAGCACAAGGTCCTGAGTTCAGTTGCCAGTACCCAAAACAAAAGAGAGAAGTAAGATTTAATATGAACTATCATGAATCTTAGTTTGGAGGAGGCTTTGTGAGTGTGTGGGGGGGCACTAGGGATTGAACCCAGAACCTTAGACATGCTAGGCAAAGGCTTTATGACTGAGCTATATCCCCTAGCTCTTTTTTAATGTTTTTTGTTTGATTGGTTTTTGGATTTTTTGTTTTGAGACAAAGTCTTGCTGCATTGTCTAGCCTGGGTTCAAACTTGTGATCCTCCTGCCTCAGCCTTCCAAAGTGCTAGGATTATAGTCATGTGCCACAATACCCAGCTTTGAATTTTATGTAACTAAAAAAAATACTACCATGGACAAGTTCCTGGGTCCTTGGGTTTGACCCTCAACACTGGGGGGGTCACATGACAGAACTTAGCAGCAAACAAAATTGATACAAAGCTTATTAGATAAAATATTGATAAGCATTAATATGTTTAAATTTTTTATCATGAATTCCCTTTAGATAATATGCAAGGAATTTGGGTCATTTATATGCTCACCACATTGCCATCATTTATTGTATCTCTTGAATTAAAGTAAATATTTTTAGTGCATGAATTTTTGAGGTTTTTACACATAAACTAGTTAAAAGGAAGACTCAAAAAAATTTTTTTTTGGTACTGGGAATCGAACTCAGGAATTTGCGCTTGCAAGGCAGGTGCCAGAACCACTGAGCTAAATATCCGGCCCAAGTACTAAAATTCTTGATTCCTTATTGATGTGTAGATTTAATTCTGTATGATTTAGGCTGTTCAATTTAGGAATTGAACTCAGGGTGTGTGCACTGATCTGTATTCCCCAGACCTTTTTTTAATTTTCACCAGGCCACTAAATTACTCTTGTCTCTACCTCTCAGAGTACTGGGATTACAGATACACCAGCCCAGGCTGGGGTGGGTTCTACCTTTCAGTCTTGCTGCATTAGCCTTCTGAGTAGCTGGAATTCCACCACTGTGCCTGGCTGAATTTGGTATTTTATAGAGATAGGAAAATTACTTTGCAAATACTTTTCTCCTCCCTCTTCTTCTCCTTTTCCCTCCCTTCTCTATCTTTCTGTGGTGCTAGGAATTGAATTTTTTTTTTCAGCTTTAATTGAGTTTATTGGTACATTTTAGGGATACAGTACAGTTACATTCATTGTTGGGATCTTGTACCTCTACATGACAAGTCTTGATTCTCATTTTTTCCCCTTACCCCTGCCCTCCCTTCACCCCCTCCTCCCCTTCCCATCTACAAACACTTTATTTTCATCTTTTCATTATCTCACATTTTTTTCTTTTCCCTTATTACCCTTCCCCTACCCATCCCACCTTCCGTACACCTTTAGCTCCTTTCTTCTCATTTCTAAATGTCAGTAATCTTATTAGGATCTTATGTATTATTGCAGATTATTCACACCAGGGAAACTATTCAGTATAGGAATTGAATTTGAGGCTTTGTACATGATTGGCCAACGCTACCACTGAGCTACACCCCCAGACCTATAATTTTTAAATAGAAAGTTTTAAAACTTGGCAAATATATGGATGCATACTTAAAGATTTGTCCTTAATCCTACCATTGAGAAATCACCCCAGTTAATAATTCATTCTTCCCTTCAGAAGAATTCATGTTTAATCTGTCTTCCTTCAACTTTCATATAAAATGCCTAACTTTTTAAGAATACTTTTATACATAAAACACTAATTCTTAAACTCTTCATACTCCAATCTGTTCTGACCTATGTATACTTCCCCAGGCAATTCTTATCATTCTCCAGGCCTTTTACCTGTGTTTCCTTTGGTAAAAATGTCTTTTCCCTCATCTTGTGTTCCTGATAAACATCTAATCTTTTTATTCTCATTGAGTTTATTGGTACATTTTAGGTGTACAGTACAGTTACATTCATTATCGGGATCTTGTACCTTTACATGACAGGTCTTTGTTCTCATTAACATCTGATCTTTTAAAATCTAATCTATATACCATCTTTCAGTAGACTTTTATAAATCATTCCATTCTTCACCTATAAATGTTATTATATCTTAACACATTCTAATGCAGTTTCTAATTATGTGTGCTTCCCATGCTAAAACTGTATGCTTTTACAAAGGATACTTGTATAAACTTGTCACATAAAAATTAAATTTTTTTTGAGTTAGATTTCTGCAGAGTTAAGTCCTCAGTTGCCTTAAAACCTGATATGATCATAATTTGGTGCTCTCCTGCTTTGAAACTTGCTGAATTTTGTACTTGAATTGACACATCGTCCTATGAAAATTTTGTCCTGCCACTTATTTTTTGTTTGGCGCCCAACATGCAAGCTAGAATTTGTGAGTGTCCATTGCCTTGTGACTTGCTATCCTTTCCAGCCAAAATAATTTGTTTGGTACTCATTGTTTTTGGTACCGATCAAATCTCCTGGAACCAATTAATCACACACACCAAGGCACCCCTGTACTTTGGGTGGGGATGTAGCTCAGTAGGAGAGCACCTTCTTAGCCTTTGAAAAGTCCTGGCCTCAGTAACCAACCCCCCAAAAAATAAAATGATAATTTGATGCTCTGTTACGGATTTTTTTATTGGTGCATATTAGTAATACAGAATAATATATTTATTTTGGTATATTGATCGATGCATATATTGATTATTTTCATCCCTGTTAAGTTCTCTTTTTCCTGCTCTTTGATCCCTACATATTCTTTTTTTTTTAGTACTGGGGATCAAACTTGGAACCTTGAGCTTACAAGGCAGGCGGTGGAACCACTGAGCTAAATCCCCAGCCCCCTACATAGTCTCATTATATACAATTTTTGGTTTTTTTGGTACCAGGGATCGAATTTATGTCCTTGCCACTTGCAAAGCAGGTGCCAGAACCACCGAGCTAAATCCCCAGCCCGATATACAGTTTTTAAAAAGCATTTTATTATGGAAAATTTCAGACATCACAAAAGTAAGAATACTAACTAGTACAAGAAAATCCCTAAGTATGCCTCATCCAGCATCAACAATTAGTATTCTATTGATTTTTTTTTTTCTCCTCAACATCTTTTGTGGTGGATAGTGTCTGGGGGTTTTAAAAACATCCTAGTATATTATAATTTCACCCCTAAATATAGATAGAATGTTTTGATCTTACATTAATTATGGTTATGTTAAGCGTATTTCCATTGTGGCACCTAACAAAATTAGTATTACTTTTTTTTAGTTCATATCTAAGTTTCCCCTGTTATTTCAAAAAGTCTTCTTTGTAATTGCTTTATTTGGATCAAGGCCCAAACAATATTGATACATTACATTTGGTTAATTGCCTTTCAAGTTTTAGCTTATAACAGTTCTTCCTCTCCCCTCAACTTTTAAATTGTGGATTTTAGAAATGTCTAAATTCTAGATTTGGCTGATTGCATCCTCCTGGTGTCATTTAATAGTTTCCACTCTCTTATACTTAATATTTCCTATGAACAGGTAGATCAAAAGGTATGATTATATTTAGGTTCAGGTTTTTTTCCTATTAAGTTTTTCACAAGGATTTTTCATTATGGTTACTGTGTACTTCTTTGTATCAATCCCATTAAAAATATATAATGTCTGGGGCCGGGGATTTAGTTCAGTGGTGCCACTGCCTGCCTCTCAAGCACAGGGTCCTGAGTTCAATTCCTGGTACCCCCCCCAAATATATATATATAAAATACATAGTCCCACTTTTAAGTAATTATTAATATTAATTAGTAGAGTCAGGTATTGTCAATCTGATAATTCAGTTAAAAGTTCAAGTTTAAGCCGGGTGTGGTGGCTCACACCTGTAATCCCAGCACTCAGGAGGCTGAGGCAGGAGGACCGCCTGTGAGTTCGAGACCAGCCTGGGCTACATAATGAGTTCCAGGTCAGTCTCAACTACATAGTGAGACCGTGTCTCAAAAAACAAAAACAAAAAAAAAAAAAACAAAAAAAATTTGTTTATAAAAATTGATTTTATTGTGTATTTTCCCGTGTAAATTATTTATTTTTATATAGTAAACCGTATTTATTGTAATAGATGAATTTGTAATTTCCCGTTTTCCAAAATGGATTATGATGGCCACCCAACCCACTAATGTCTCATTATGTATAGTACTTTTTTTTAGGTGGGGGGAGCGCTAGCGATCAAACCCAGGGCCTGATATATGTTAAGCAAGTATGCGATACCTCCATCCTCAGTCTTTGTTAAAGACCTATAAACTAGGATTAACATCATAGTTTCACTTCACTAATCTACTTGTCTGTTCCTACAACAATATTTATTTTATTGAAAAGCTGGGTGTGGTGGCACATACCTTTTTATCCTAGTACTCAAGAGGCTGAGGCAAGGAGGATCACCATGAGTTTGAGGCTAACCTGGGCTATACAATGATTTCAGGGCCAGAACTTGAACTACATAGTGAAACACTTTCTCCCAAAAAAAAACAAAAAAAAAACAAAAGCCCAAATAAAAACAAAAAATATTTGTGTTGTATCTGTTAGCGCTTCCCCTCACTCATTGTCTTTTTCCACTCATTTCCACTAATTTTCCTTTTTACTTGGTGGATTTAGCAGCCATTGGTGATAAACATATTTATTACTTCCAAGTTTAGCTTTGCTTTTAAGAACTTAATTTTATAAATTTTAGAAATAAGAATTATGCATGATTCCTACAGTACACCTCTTTTGATTTTTAAATGTACACCCATAAAATAGCTACTTCAAAATTGAGTAATCATTGCTTCCTTACTTTATAGATGTTTTAAAAATAAATTGGCTTTTCTTTTGCTTTCCCTTTCCCCACCCCCAACAGATCGAAGAAGAGATGTTGGCTTTACAGAATGAACGCACAGAACGAATACGAAGCCTGCTAGAGCGTCAAGCCAGAGAAATTGAAGCTTTTGACTCTGAAAGCATGAGACTAGGTTTTAGTAACATGGTCCTTTCTAATCTCTCCCCTGAAGCATTCAGCCACAGCTACCCAGGAGCTTCTGGTTGGTCTCACAATCCTGCTGGGGGTCCAGGACCTCACTGGGGTCATCCCATGGGTGGCCCACCACAAGCTTGGGGTCATCCAATGCAAGGTGGACCCCAGCCATGGGGTCACCCCTCAGGGCCAATGCAAGGGGTACCTCGAGGTAGCAGTATAGGAGTCCGCAATAGCCCCCAGGCTCTGAGGCGGACAGCTTCTGGGGGACGGACGGAGCAGGGCATGAGCAGAAGCACAAGTGTCACTTCACAAATATCCAATGGGTCACACATGTCTTATACATAACTTAATTGAAAGTGGCAATTCCGCTGGAGCTCTCTGCCAAAAGAAACTGCCTACAGACATCGTCACAGCAGCCTCCTCACTTGGGTACTACAGTGTGGAAGCTGAGTGCATAATGGTATATTTTATTCATTTTTGTAAAGCGTTGTTTTGTGTTTACTAATTGGGTTGTCATAGTATTTGGCTGCCGGGTTTGATCTTTTTTTTTTTTTTTAACTTTTTGGGGAAATTTTGAAAAGGAATTGATATTAAACATTTCATGTATGTAGTAAAATGAAATTGGCTATAAAGGGGGTATTTTCTGAATACTGCAAAAATAAAATGCAGCAAAAGTGGCTTGAATCATCACTTTAGGGTATCATATCCTGAGAAGTTTGTGAGAAAATCTAAAGCTATCCTCCATATTCAAAATTTTTATGAGCCACTGACAGCAGGCAGCATATGCTGAAACAAGCTATTGGAGTACACCTGCACCTCCTCACCAATATATTATATTTTCTTTATTAAATTGATCTGACTTCTCAGCCTCATTTGGATTTTAAAAATCAGAAATCTATGAGCACTAAAGGGTTGTGTTGACCTTTTCAAATCATAGAAAATAACTTAGTTCTTTTCTGAATGCTTCATAAGTTTGTCAATGATTTTTTCAGATCAGTTGTGCCTTCTTTGTGTCACAGCAAGTTGTAATTGCTTAAGGAGATCACAAGCTGTATAGGGATTACATGAACCAACCTGTAAGCCTTTAAAGGGGAAGACCAGCAGAGTGAGGGGGCCCCTGAAAGTTTATATGATAAGTATGTCTAGCAGCAGCATGAGGAGATGAAGTATATGTTTCTTGACATTTGTTGCTTATACTGTGATATCTTATCCTAGCTAAGCTCTAAAAGTCCCAACATCCTGAACAGTACTTTTACTTTGTACTGAAACAAAGACAGAAAGCCAATCCAAATCAAATGCCAGAGTATTTGAATGATGCCATATTTGCAAACTGCCATCTATGGGAATTTTCATCACACTACATAGACATAATTTGACTATCCCCTTTTGGCTTATGGGATTTCCTGTTTACAAGTAGACTAGTCAATTATTTAAATGTTTAGTTGCCATAGTGAACCAGGAGCCACTGAGCCAATGACTACCAGCTGCTGACTAATCCTCATCACCACTGTAGATTTTGCTGCATCTGCAGGTCCTCTGTTTTATAATTGCTGTTTTTGTTGCTGCAGTGCTTTACAAACTTCTAGTTCATTGAGACTTAGTGACTATTTGGAATCATGTTAACATCACACAATAGGAAACACCACTCCAGAAGTCTCAAGCCTCAGTGCTAAAATACTACTGAAAAGGAGCTAGGAAGTTTGGCAAATGAAAAAACAAAACGACAAAAAAAAAAGTAAAAGTAAGTTATAATGGTCAGGGAATCTCTTGACAAAAGCTAACATTTGGTGGGGGGCATTTTTAAAAAACTTGTTCTGTTTTACAATGAAGGATCAACCCGATGTTGAAAGTCAGATATTACTTGGTATTTCCATGTGTATGTAGAAGTTGAGTTGGAGATGGGTGGGGAGCTGTGAATATGACTTGAAGAAAAAAATGTTCTCTTTAGTTATGGATCAGAGTTTCTTACAAGTTATTGTCCTGTCCCCTACCCCCTTGTCTTGAAGAACCCTTTTTTTTAGGTCTTGAAGAACTCTTGCTGCTAACTCTGGATCCTGCTTTTCATATACTGAGAGGGCTCCAAGATAAGACTCTCTATGTCCCTCATAATAATACTCTTTAACCCTAGACCAAACTAATGACCAAATTGTAATCTGTTAGTTTTCTCAAACAGATTTTTAAGTTTTCCCTAGGTACTGTATGTCAGCCCAGTCTCCATGAATCTTTCCCTGTAGGAATTTCTGACATCGATTGATTTGAAGGTAATTATAAGAAAATGAATGCATTAATAGAAATCCTTTAAAAACCAAAATCAAAATGGAGTTCACACATACTTCTAGCCAGTGTTTCAAGTAGAATTCTGATGTGTCGTCCTCTTGGCCATGCTCCGGATCACCAGTTTTTAGGTAAGCTTGACATATATTTGTCATAGCTGATAAAAAGGCTTTTAGTCTTTTTTATTTGCATTCAACTATTATACAGTATTTCAACAAGAAATCTACCTATTTGGAGAAAAATTATAAGAGCTTTAGAAATAAATGAAGTATGTAGAAATGTGATAGACTTTTAATACCTTTATAAATGTTCTTCAAAGATCTGGCCCCCCTCAACTACTGGAGAGGTAGAATAAGGAATCAGATCAGATTTGCTTACAAAACCTCTTGCAAACTCAAAGTACTACCAGTGATACACTTTTAAATCCACTTGTGAGCTTCAGTAAGGCTAATTGAGTTATTGAGTTCATTCACATCAAATGTACTTAAAAAGCATGATTGAATACTGACTCCAGAGGTCTGTCCAGTTAGGGTTTGTATCTGATTTGTGTGACAACTAGTTTTATATTGTAGGATATCATACCTGGATTATATCATTAATTTTAATTTAGATATATGTAGTTTGCAACAATGATTTAAATTAATTGGGTTTTTTTGTGTGTTTTGGGGATGTTAACTTCTGACAAATCTCATGATAGGAATCATCATAGAATAAAACTAGTAGCAGGAAGATATGAAGGGTTTTAAGATACCCTGAAGAAAGAGCAAGCACTTTCTGAATCTGTGTGCAAATGTCAGAGTTTAATCAAACTAACACTACCTCCTCCCTAGTGTTGGTGTTCACTCATATATGTGTTTAAGAAAATTAAAAGCATGGGAAATTTGTGTAGCATATCAGAATTTGTAAATGTTATATCTGGTATCCAGAGCCTGGCAGTGAAAAGTTTCTTGTGTTTGCCCTTATCCTTTTTTTTGTGTTAGCATTTTAAAAATGCAAAGCCTCATATGTTGAATCATTTTTATTCCTAATTAGATTTTCTTCCCTTTGCACATTTTTCTTCTTTTTAAAAGTCAGTTCTAACTCCAAATTAGAGTATCTAAAAGCATTTTCACTATATAGACAATGTTAGGTTAAGAATGTGTTTATATTATTTTTATCAGAGCTGACGTTCTTTTTAGTCATTTCTATACATAAAGAATGGCCCTGTATTTACAGTCACACCCATAGGTGAAATTGACGTAAGTATTTTGAACTTAAACATAGTAATGATTTTCAGCTGGCTAGACATAGGTACACACTATTCAAACACTAAAGATGCTTTCCTGGACACTCCCATTTCTATCAATTTTTCTCAAGCCCTGCCCCTCTTTTCCAAAATTGAAATTGCTGTGTCTTTTTTTCAGACCATAAGATAGACTTTAGTAACTTTCTGCTTTTGTAAGTACTAAATGTCTGGCATTTTAAACTTTTATAAAATACATTGTGTTGGACACTGGAATAATACTATTTATTTTCACCTGTGAAGATGACTTCATTGTACTTGAAACACCTCCTTTGCAATTCTCCATTTGTGCCATTCACTAGTGGAAATAAATTGTATTATACCATGATCTACTGGCTTTTTAAAACTGTGTTAAATATGCACATTTTTGGTATAGCTATTATCATTTGTATGTATATACTGTATATACATATGAGTGTCTATATGTGTGTATAGATGGATGGATGTAACTCATACTGTACATTTCCATCAGGGCACTTAAGGTTCTGTTGTTTTTGTTTGGTTTTATTTCAGTCCTCGGTAAAGGCAATAATCCGGGTGTGTTTTTTTAAAGTACTCTGGGTTGATATTTATGAAAAGGTGATCATTGGATTCAATCTTTTCCTTTTTAATCCCTCTTAGCACTTGAGTGAGTGGAGAGAAAAGTTAAAAAAAAAAAAAAAAAAAAATGGAACCATAAGTTGTAGTGCAGTAAAATAGTGCTGGGGAAGAAGCCAGTTGGTGTTTCTGTGAGTTTTGTGTTGTGATGTGACAAAAGATGAGTGATGACAAAGAAAAGTGAATTGTGGAGAGAACACTGGTAGTAATTTCCTCTGCAAAGATGATAAAAAGAACCAGTAAATCACAATCTTTATATATTATGTATTTCTTAGTGATGCCATGGATCTTTTTTATTCCATTAATACTAGTAATTGTATATTTTGCTGAGGATCTGAACAGCCAAGAAAGGAATTACAACTAAAACATCTAAGGTTCTCTTGAACTGTACAATCAATAGGAAATGGCCACTGAGAGCAGATTATGGTATTGGTGTGAGGAGCTTTCTGTTTTTAGCTGCCTCTTCTTGCTTGCTAATAGTAAGTTCTTTGTGCACCTTCCACCCCTTCTGAGCCACTACTATTCAAGCAGAGATTTGGCCCAACACAGCAACCTTGTCTTTGGAAGTTTATATCGTTCTGCATTTTGTCCCATGCTGAAAATGTGAAGTAATCCTAGTGTATATTCAAGTCAGAAAGTAATATATTTAAGGTGTGTAAAGTGAATCTCCTATAGTGGTGGATGAAGAAATTCTTATTTCTTACAGCCTTTAAGCAGCAAAATTAAAACTTGGGCTGTCATCTTTGAACTGCTTAACAAAATACAGATCATTATTCATTTTTGAAAAGAAACAAATTCACTTATTTTTTTTCCCCCAACATGATAGCATTTCTACCTAGGTTGTAGTGCTACCTTTTAAAATGCACTCACTCATAGTTGTTAAGAACTGGAAATTTCCCATCCTCAGATTCCTTAAAGGAAGAGTGTGCTGTACATTTAGCATACTTGCCCCTGAAGTATGCAAGGACTACTGATCGAAGTCTATTTTGCTGTGTCTGGTTATGTTGTCTGCACTTTTATGAAATTGCTACAGTAGATCTACATTGGAAATCATTTAATTTGTAAAGAAGTTTTATTATATTAAACACTGTCTAGAAAAACAAAGTGAAGCTGAGAACTCTTCCTTTATTGTCATATTTCCTACTGAATTCTGATAGCATCTGTTAAAGTTGTAATGACTAATTTTTTCTGTCTTGCTTATATTCAGATTTCAAAAATTTCCTTCATATATAGGAAGAGAATCCATTTGGCCTGATGGTAGTCTTCAGATCATAATACATGAATTAGTAGCACCTTATCTGCCTATTGTGGGCTTCTTAAACTTGCACTTCCCACCCACCCAAAGACGCATATCTTTTAAAGAAATTAAAGGCAGAGAATTAAACGTGTGGAGCCATGTACTATGTCACCATCACTGTTAATTGTTTCCCAGCAATCCAAACTTCTGAAATTTCACAGATTTTTTTTGTGTGGGAGGGTGTATGTGTCTGATTGTATTTTTGTTTGTTTTATTTTTAAATATACAAGGGGTTCTTTAGAGAAAAAGATTAATCCTTTCAAACAGCAGGATGCCCACCAGATACACTAATCCAAACATCCGTAGGTAGTTTGCCATGACAAAGTGGAGAGAAGGTGAGTCTCCTGAATTAATGAAAAAGGGTATCTTGATGCCCAAGAATTCCCCTCAAAGTACGGGTAATTCAACCTGCACAGTTTCCTTTTACTCACAGTTTTTAGCAATTGTGAGTGAAAAATCATGTAATTATCTGTAAATATGTAGCTAACAAATTGACCTAGTTTCTGTATTTTTTTGGTTTTGTACTAAAGTTTATAGGTCTGTGCCAGCTAGAGAGGAGTTACTGTCATTGCCAGTTGTGGTTCTAGCATCTAACCCTGAAACCATCCTAGGTGACATTTTTAGAATTAATGCTTAAATGTTGTTAAACAGGGGGAAATGAAGCTTAATCATTGGTCAGGTTTGAAATTTTTTAAGCTAAGTAACTTTATTTAATATAATGATTACACATCCTCAGTCATGAGTGAGGTAGGAGCCTCCCTCCCCCAGTGGCCATGTTTACAGAAGTGTGTTTTGTCTATAAAGTGCACAAGTGTGTTACTGTTTATGTAAATTATGCAGTTGATAACATTATGGTTTGGGACTTTTTATGGGCTCTTTACCTGAATTTTCAAATGAAATGAACTATGCTTATTGCTGGCACATTTATCCCATTTCTGGAACATTTTTCTAATTCCAGAATTACATATGTTCCTTAAACATTATCCCTATTTAACCTCCCTATCTCTGATAGGCCTTGTAGCCAAGGTATTAAAGACTGGTGAACATAGATGAGGGAAATGCATTTCTTAAAAATCCATGAGCCCTCAGTTGTATGCTTTCAGTACTTGTGTTATATGTGTCTATGGCTACTTTGAAGTCGGTGGTTTAGAAATGAGATACCAATGTTAATGAAAAGTGTGTACTCTTTGCTTTTGCATGGCTTGGCTTAGTATCCAAGGTATATTAGAGCCACTTGAAAGCATGAAGACCAGTTATATGGGAACAGGTTTCTCTCAGTGGCACATTTTACTTTTCCTTAACCCTCAAATACATTGTCTAAGCATGAACATTATTATTACTATGAATTGTACACGGTCATAGAGTGAATTATGTAATTTAAAAGGATACAGCTACCTATTGTTTGTAGTTTCTGGCTGGTCTGTGTGACCATTTGGCACATATCAAAAAACCCTTGAGGGGTGTTGGAACCCTTCGAGCCCTTTTTGGGGGGTCATAAACAGGTGTATTTAGTTTACCAAGATGTTGGATGCCTCTGGTGTATTGCCAGAGAAGTTGTCTTTTGGTGCCCATTCCAAATGTGCCGTTGTGCTTCCTTACCTTTCATACTATCAAAGAAACCACCACCCCTTCTTCTAACAGCATTTTTTGCCTTTTATTCCACATTAAATGGGAATTGTGCCTACTTAGAGTGCCCCTCCAATTAATTACATGTGTCCCAAAATTATCCAAGCTAGAGACACAAGGAAGAAAACACCTTTAAAAATAAAAAGTTACTTGAGGCCAGTTATTTGACAAGGTGTTTTACCACATTATCTTGACACTATATATGAGCCTATTAGGAATAGCAAGAGAGGTTTCATAGAGTAAAATCTAAGTGAAGAGGGATGTGTGGGGTTTCTATTAGGAGATATTTTTGTTCTTAACCTTTCTTTTTATGATCCTTCTCTGCTAGCTTAGACAGGTTAATTCCCCAAATTGTTTTTAACTTTTTAGGAAAATTTTTACAAAAGCAGTGGTCTGATGTAAATAACAATTTAAAGTATAGCGCACATAACTTCCCCAGTTTGTCCAACCTCATCATTTGTAAATGCTTGAGAATTTTTAAAATTTAACACCTGTGTTGCTAAATCCTATTTATGTAAGTCTACTAAAGTTTTTAACCCACTTAAGACTTAAACATTTAAATAATGGATGGGTTACTTTAAGCATTTTAGCTTCCAGAACCCCCTTGTTTTAGTATATGAAAAGCCTGATGCTCATTAATGAGGTTGGAGAGACTATGAGAAATATGTATAGTGTATATTTTAAAACAGCTTTGCTTGTATTGTGAAGATTTAAAAACAAACTTGAGATTTTTAACATAACTATTAACACAGTTTTAACATAAGTTATCCCACTGGGTTTAAGAGCATTTTGAATGTATAATCCTTTTTGTAACCCAGGTTGGTTTCTGCTTTTACCAGTCATCCAAACATTATTTATAATTTTAGTTTTAATTACTCATTTTCCTTTGTTATCCTCAAACAGCATGATTTTTTTTTTTTTGCACATGTAGAAATTTTTAAAAGGAAAAAAACTAATACATCATTTTATCTGGTTCTTCGCTTCTCTTCTTACTAACTACTTCTTTAAAGGCCATATCACTCCATTTGCATTATTTCTGCAAATGCCAGGGTTGGTTTTTATTTTTATTTTTGCTATTTACCTTTAAAAAAAGAAAATGCTTCAGTCAATTGCTTTTTTATTTAAAAAGAAAAAAGATAAAAAAGAAAAAAGCTGTAACCTTATCATTTCTGAGTAGACCATTGAGAGATGAATGCACACCTGTCACAGCCCAGGACCAGCTTTGGTAGCTGAAGGGAATATTTTAGCTAAGTGAAATGTTCTTTTCTGAAAGTGGTATATATTATCCACAATCTGTTTCAGTTATTCCCATGAATCAGGGGTCCAGATAAAATGAGGGTTATCAGCTAACTGATACGTTATCATTGAGGTTCATCAATGAATTTGTACATTTCTAGTTCCCTTTGGTGAAGGGAAAAGTGATTTTGCAAGACCTAGATTTTGGCTTGGTTTCTTGCCTCCTTTTTTGGCAGCCTTCATCTTCTCATCTCCCAAAGCCCTTGAGCCTGTAGGGTTTTCATAGTGGACGAAGGACTTGTGGTCTTTTAAAGCTGGGACTGATTTATGTGTGTGTGTATGTGTGTGTGTGAGAGAGCGGGAGGGAGAGAGGGTATCATGTTGAAAGTGTGGTAGTGTTCTACCACTTTACTGGTGACTAATTTTAAACATACACAGTCCTTTCAATTTTTGGACCAAACAGACACCCACAGTGGAGGCTTATCAAGGGTTGCAATGGGAAAGAAGCCTCTCCCTCACTGTCAGCACCAGCTGGTAAAGGTGACTGTACAGATGTGCATTTTCCTTTTGATAGTAATGGTCCACAGCACTAACTGGTAAGGCTTATTGTACAGTATATTGTCAGTATTCTTCTGGTTCAGCATATCTTATAGTTCATATATAACCTGTATTAATTGTATAGATTGTGCATTTAAAGCTGTTACCAAGTTGTCAGAACATAAGAGCGAAAACAAGGTCATATGTAATATTTTGTTTGTAAGTATCCTTTGTATCATAGCAAAGGAAATGTTTAAAAATCAACTGTAATAAAGTAATTTTAGTACACAGAGTGTTTGGTCAGTTTTTTAAAGCAATTTTATTCCCATGAAGATATATTTTAGTTCAGCAAATAATTACTGAACCTCAGGCAGTGTTGGATATTACAAAAATGAGTATGATACGGGTAAGAGGGAACTCTACTAAATTACCTCAACTGCTCTGTCCAGAGAATGAAGTGGCCTGTTGTCTTCTTGGTATGAGAGGATTCTTTTCTGTTTGATGCAAGATCTTAAGTTTTATTCCTGTGTTGTGATCTGTGTAACGGAACCCCTCCCATACAGGGACACAATTCTCTTAAAAATCATCACATATATACATTTATTGATATAGGGTCTCACTATATATATAGCCCACACCTTCCAAATTGTGATCCTTCTACCCTAGCCTCCCAAGTGTGAGGATTACAGGCATATGCCGCTATGCTCACATTTTAGCCCTATGTGGAACAGTAGACCCATCTAATCCAGTCCTGTTTAAAATAGTTCGGGTGACATTTTTTGTTGAAAGACTAATTCAAAGGAGGAAATGTTCATGGGTGCTAGTCTTTTTTTTAATTCAAAAAGAAATTACTTTCGGGGATTTGGCTCAGTGGTTCTGCTGTCTGCCTTGAAAATGCAAGGTCCCGAGTTCGATTGCTGATACCAAAAAAACCTTTTTTTTTTTTTTCTTTTTATTGAGGTTATTGGTACAATCTAGGTATACAATACAATTACATTCATCATTGGGATTCTGTACCTTTACATAATAGGTCTTGATTCTCATTTTTCCCCTTGTCCCTGCCCTCCCTTCACCCCCTTCACCCCCTCCTCCCCTCCCCATTTACAAACACTTTATTTCCATTCAAAAAAACCTTTTAAGTATGCATGTTTCTGTGTCAGACACTATCAGAGCCTCAAATATGGTTGACAAGATCTCTCCTACTGAATTATTCTTGCAGCCCTTAGCCGGGCATGGTGGCGCACACCTGTAATCCCAGCACTCGGGAGGCTGAGGCAGGAGGATCACTGTGAGTTTGAGACCAGCCTGGGCTACACAGTTCCAGGTCAGTCTCAACTACATAGTGAGACCCTATCTCAAAAAACCAACGTAAATAAAAGTATAGTTTACCTATCATATTGAAGATTTAGAAAAACAGCACAGCTTTTTAACTCATAGAATGCTGGTATGGAGCCATTATGACCTTAACATTTGTGAAGTGTGTTAATTTGCCTGGTTCAGACTGGCAGAGCCAAAACCAGACCCCAGGTCTCCTATCTGGTATTTTCAATGTATCCCCCTGATTTTGGAAGAAATCATTAAGAGAGCTTAAAATACAATATTTTCTGCTTTAGTCCCAAATTGGACTACAGATTACATTGGGATTAAAGGCTCTGGGTTATGCTTAGAATTTAAAACTATCTTGACTATAAAAAAGTTGAATATAAATAACCATAATAGTGAGCTACCTCCACGGTACCATTGCTACTGTCTGCATCTCAGTGATGTTTCACAACCACCATCTTCCTTCCTGTAAATGTCATTAATAATTGCTTTTTGGTTTTTTAGACATGTTTTATAGTTCAAGCTGACCTCAAACCCACAAAGATCCTCCTGCCTCAGCCTCCTGAGTGCTGGGATTACAGGCGTGCACCACCACACCTGGCTTTATAACTTCTTCTTAAGGAATAGAGACAAACCTGCTGAGCGTGTTCAAGGTTTACAGAGCATGCACTAAATAATTTTGGAAGGTGCTTTTTATAAATCAACATACATTCCTCCCCCCGTGGAGTTGTGCACTCCGGCAGTTCTAGAGAAAATTTTTTTTTCTTTTTTCCAGTACTGGGGATTGAACCCGAGGACCTTGTGCTTGTGAGGCAGGTGCGGTGCCACTGAGCTAAATCCCTGGCCCTCATAAGAAATGTTTACTTTTTCTGATTTGCTGGAAAAAGGCATGTGGTGTATGACATAAAGTGCACTGGTGCCGGGCGTGGTTGTGCACGCCTGTAATCCCAGCACTCAGGAGGCTGAGGCACAAGGATCGCTATGAGTTTGAGACCAGCCTGGACTACATAGTAAAAAAAACACTGGTTAGCGTTCTGGGTTATCCCCATCACTACTAATTGTGAGATCTTGAAAGTCACATCCTCTTGGACCCTAGGTACAATAATAATATAGTTTTTGCTAAAATAAATGGACCGGTGTGAAACCTATTCATTGTAACGTATCAGGGCAGGAGGGTAGTAGAGTCTGCCCACAACTGGGCAACCCAGACCCAACTTGTAAGGCTCAAAGGTGCTGCCATTACAGGTCTTTTCCACCTTTGCAGTGGAATTAACTGGAATTTCTGGGCCTTGTAAGAAATGGAGAATAGGGCCGGGGATTTAGCTGGGGAGAACAAAAAAAAAAAAAAAAAAAATAGGGGGGAAAAAAAAAAAAAAAAAAAAAAAAAAAAAAAGCCTCATCTGAAAGTAGATACCACTATATCATAGAGGTCTTTAGGCTCTCATTAAAGAATTAAATAGAGCTTGGAATTTAGCTCGGTGCCACGCCTGCCTTGTAAGTGGAAGGTCTTGAGTTCCATCCCCCGTACGAAAGGAAAAAAAAAAGAGAATGGTGTCTGCGTGCTTTTATTATGTCATTATATCCTTGTGCATGAAGGGCTATACACACTATAAATCTTTTCATATGGAACAAGGAATAACCCCCAAGCTTGTTGAAATCACATTTGAAGTAGAAAAGTGAACCTACATCAGGGCCAGGGATTTAGCTCAGTGGCACTGCACCTGCCAAGCATGAAGCCCTGAGTTCGATTCCCAGCACCAAATAAATGATAATAATAAAACCCACATCTCCAAGTTACTACAGCGGTGCTCTCCCCTACACTACAAACACCAGTTGCCCGCCAAAAGATTTTATGTATATACTAAATGAAGACCAGGGAATTTTGACCTTGTTGAGAAATTACTAGCTGAGAGCAGGAGGCCTGGTTGTTGATTAGACAATGCTAAATATACGCAAGTGAGGCAACGAGCAGTGAGTGGAAAGTGCAGGGAGGCTCTGATAAACCCCACAATGGGTAAGCACGGCTTAATACACAGGATTTCAGAAGACAAACAGCACATATTTGTTTCTAGATATTTATACATTCTGGTGTTGCAGGGAGACTACAAGTTTTGCGGTATTTACAGAGACAAATTAGAGAAATACTTGTTTAACCACATTAGTGAGATACTCTATTTCAGGGAAAGGCTGGAGGGATGAGAAACATTTTTTATTCACGTCATTCATTGAAGTTTTACTTTCAAATGTTTAGTTCTTCCTGGGCACTTGTAACTAGAGTGTAATTACTGGATATCTTTAGTTATCATATCTGGTCACATTTGCAGAATTATTTTCATTAAAATCTTTGTCATCTCCCAGCTCCCAGTATCCTGGTCAAGTCTATGGTCACTTGATCATCAAATCTAAAAATAAATCAGAATCTTTACAATCTGCTGAGCTTATTAGCATTATTCTAACAGATTCTCATATGGGAAGAGGCCACTTTCATCTCCTAGTACTCCAGAATAGGAGCCAAGGGGCAGCCTAGTTTGAATATTCCACTGATGATGTGTGACTTGTTCTCTGAAGCATTTATCCTACTTATGGGCTGTCAAGCACCCTAGGTATATAACTTCTGAAGCCTTTCTAAAAGCAACCTTTGCATATTATGATAGCTTCTCATAATTTCTGATTTCACCCTTTTTGACTTAACTGTAGAATCACAATACTGCTTGCTGGCATTGTTACAAAGGTCTATCAATGTGGACAGGTGCATCTGCTTATTTCAATAGAGAGGAACTCATGCTTAAGTTCATTTCTAAAGGAGGATACATTGGCATTGCTAAGATGTCTGACAAAGGATATAGTGGTTTGGGTGAAAGATGAATACAGAGGAGTTTTCGATGTTGGTGTGGTTTTGAGGTTTTATATATAAAGCCAAGATGGCACTTCCTGTGTCAAGACTTTTTTCCTAACAATGTCCAAGTCTTAGAAACAATGTCTTCATTCAAAGTAAGATGTCTTCTCAGAGAATCTGGGGCTTTGGTTTTTCTTGGAACCTATTTATAAATATATAAAGAGCTGGGAATTTAGCTCAGTGGTTCTGCTGCCTGCCTCGCAAGCACAAGGACCTGAGTTTGATCCCTGGTACCAAAACCAAAAACAAATATAAATATATAAAGCACTCGGTCTTTATGGAAATTAAATTACAGCTTACCACATTCTTGATACCAAAGGTGAGAACATAGTAGAGTTCAAAGAAACACTGAGAGGCAGTTGTTTGCTTCCTGTATTCTGATGCAATGTAGAAAGAGGACTCTAGATCTGAGATAATGCCTCCCTTAAATCATGGATGGGGTTTTCCCCCTTTTACCATTTGAAGGTGTTTATAAATAATGAAGAGAACAAAAGGAAGGCAAGAAAGTGATGTGGCCTCAGAACATTGCTAACGTCCCACCTTGTGAAAACTCCAACTTGCTTCCTTAAACTCAGAACTTGTGATTTTATTCAAGGGACCATCCCTTCTCAGAATAGTGTGCCTGGCTCTCTTCCAACTTCTTTCATGATTAGCTGTTTACCAAAATGGAGCCAATTTAGCTAAAGGACAGTCACCAAACTTTGAAAAGCACATGTGGCACAAAGGGCATGGAAGAGAAATGTTTTAGGATGTAGGTGTTGGAGCTCAGGGCCTAAGGGAATTAATGACCTGAACTAAACCTGTTCTGTCATTCCTCTAAGAACTTTTAAGACTACTGCAACTGCAGGGCTGAGAGTGTAGCTCAGTGGGAGAGCTCTTTACTAGCATGTATGCAAGGCTCTGGATTCCATCCCCAGCATAGCAAAAGAAAAAAGCCCTGTAACTCCAAAATACATATATTGCTCTTCCTGGCAAACTTTCTTTCCTATAAAAAGGGAAAATAAAACCAACTATCATTTCTGTAGAAGTTATTCTTTTAAGAAACCAGGGCCCTGTGGTATCTGGTCTAGAGAAACTACCATGACTTTTGCCATTAGGAATGCATTAAGCCTTAGGGTTTAAAAATTTCTGGGCTGAGCTCAGCCTGGGTAATTTAGTGACTTAGAGAGGCTTTGTCTCAAAATTAAAAAGAGGGCTGGGGATATATAGTTCAGTGTGAAGGCCCTAGTTTCAATTTCCAGTACCACTAAACACAAAAAGCACTGATTGCTTCCCATTTTGCAGTTCCAAATGATCCAAGGGCATATGGGACTGCAGGACATTAATTAACTGAAATTCCCACTGAACAAGACAGGGGTGGACATGGGCGGGGTGGCCAGATGTCAGTAATTGTTCCTTACCAAGACTTATACAGAGGCTGTAGTTTACCAGCTATAGAACAGCTTCTTTAGAGTTCAGTTCCTTTTATTTCTTTTGCCCAGAAATGGTAAAAGAACAGCAGAAGAGAAATGTGAAGGAAGAGAAGCAAGAAAGATAATTTTTTTCACAACAGGATAATGTGCCTCAGACAAGCGAATGTTGTCTGTATTTCAGTTTACACTTGATCTTAGCCAAAAAGCCGAGAAGCGATTGTATTTCAGTTTAGATTATTGGAGTTAGTTCAGATTTTTTTTTAATCTAAAAGAATGAGACTGGCACGATCATCCAAATATGAACTCATGGCACCAGGAATACCTCAACCTAAGACTCAAGGTTTGCCTTTTGGTATAAACATCTCTTTAAAAGTGCTTTGCTGGGGCTGCTGCCTGTCTTGCAAGCACTAAGTCCTGAGTTCAATCTGTGGTATGAAAGAAAAGAAAGAGACAGAGGGGGGGGGAGAGGAAGGAAGGAAGAGAAGGAAGGAAAAGAAAGAAAGGAAATTGCTTTGCTGTTTGTGAAGTCAAAACAGGTGCCCTCTTTCTCACTAATGAATTAAAATGGGCTGAGAATACAGCTTCATGGTAGAATGCTGATAAGGACAAGACCCTGGGTTCAATCCCAGCACCAAAATAAATAATAAAATTTTAGGGCAATGAACATGAAACGAGATCTCTCATTGCAAAAAAAAATAATTATTTACTGTCCCAATCCAAACCAGAATATGTAGACAAATCTGTACTCTACACCTTATTTTACTCTTGTCTTCAGCATTATTGTCATAGAACCAAATACTCACTTAGTCCCTGAGTGGTCAGATCTAGTAAGATTTTCTACCTTTACATGAATGGCCTTTTAATAACTGAGCAGACGATGCATTAGTTATATGAAACATTCATTTATCACTGAGTAAGCGAGAGTCAGCCTCTTGGTGCTGTTTTCTCTGGTCCCGGATGTCTGTCCTGGCTCTAGAAAGGGAGAGGCTAGGGTCATCACAAGAAGGAAGTAACTAACAAGAAACCCTTCATTATGAGGAGATTTGCACTTTTTAATGACTTAGAGAAAACCCATATTTCTGAAGAAAAATAGCTCTGGCTGGGCTTGAGGAATCCCTTGAAATGGAACAAGAGGGAACATCTCTACCTGAGAACCTGACTACTTGAGCCAGTGTCTAACACAGCTTAGACTGTAGGTGAGAGCAATTCCTGTTCCTAAAATCCCTCTGGGTCCTTCCAGTGAAGCTTGAGGGCCTAGGCTGGAGTTCCAGATCAGCCCCGTTCTCAGCTGAGATTGGCAGAGCTCTTAAGAAAATGGGTCTTCATGCACAAGGCCAGGATTTCTCACCCTTGCCAGCCCTTCCTGCTCTGCTGCTTTTTCAGACTCAGGCAACTCCAGGAACCTGGGTCCACAGCTGCTGATGTCTTAAGTCAGAGCATAGCCACAACCACAGAGCATATGAGGGAAGTGGGACCGAGACATAAACATCCTGTCCTTTCTATATCAAGTAGCTCCAGCTCAAGAATCAGTCGCTGCATTTTTTATGTGGATCAGAACAACCAAATGACATGCATAAACTTAGTGTCCCTCTAGTTGTGGCTAGGAAGAAAGCATCTTTCTCCTGAGTCCATGCACTTAAAGGGGCTATTCTTTGGCTTATGAAGCTGTTGGCAGGAAACAGTGACCAGGGATAACCAGGACAAGCAGGAATGTGTTTGACAAAGCCTGGATGGGAGTTCCACTCAGGTGGGGTGGGTGGGTTTGCAGGTAGCTCCATCTCTTTCCACAGACCAGTTTAAGAGAAGGAGCAAAATCAGAAGCAAAGCACTGGAGCTGCCCCATCCAGTCCCCATTATCTTTTGCAGACTCCATATCCCTGAAAGACCAAGGGCTTCTCCTGCCAGGTCTCACCTTGTATATGATCGCTTCCAGCTAAAGATCTCCAGATTGGATGAGGGGGAGAACTCCTGCTTCTGCAGGGCTCCCCAACGGCGGCGGCCTCCCAGGAATGAGGTCCGGTGCCTGCTCATCCCTTTCATCCTTTCTTCCATTCGGAAGAACTCAGCTAAGGCTCGGAAGGATTCTAAGATGACCTCATGGCTCCAGGCTGGCAAGGGCTCCTGGCGCAGGAAGCCACAGTGGCCTCCATGGCGACTGAGCAACAGGAAGAAGTACGGGTTGCTGTGGAAGAGTTCAGTAGGCAGAGTGTGGTCTGGGGGCCCACTCACGGGGTCATCAGCGCTGCAGATGCACAGCACAGGCACAGCTGCCTCGTCCACATCCCGGAGGGGGTCATTGCGATCCCAGTAGGTGTCCCAGCTGATGGGGAAACTCTTGGTGTGGCAAAAGAGGGTCTCCTCAAACTCTCGCAGGGAGCGGCTCTTGAACAGCTTGCTGGTATCCACTGTGTCCTCCAGGGCTGTGGCATACCTGGAAGCAGGAGTTGAATGGGGCAGGTAGGAGAGAGGGAAGGAAGAATCAGAAAGCCAGTGACAGCAGAAGCTGCAGAGGAGCGGCCCACTAGCCAGATTCTCATCACTGAGGCTTACTGGTTATGTGGCCCTTTAAAAAACTTTCATGCCATGGCCATCAGATTTTGCATAAAATGCAGATCTCCAGGGAAAGAGGAAGTTCAGGCCACACAGGCTGGCCTTTCTTCCTGTGTTACAGTACCCACCAGCCCTGTCATACATAGCATTACCTGTCTAGCCCTAGGGGCAGCATTGATTTGCAGCTCTGATCTACAGGGACAGCTCCCCTCCTGACTACAGCTTCTCACTCTTCCCAGGGAACTTGTTAAGAGCTGTCACCTCCTGGACCCTTCCCCGCCCCCAGAAATCACTGGAGCTACCCTATCCAGTTATGTTAGTTGTTTTTATATTTTTGTGCTAATATGCTATCCTGGTGATGACAAATGAGTTGTGACCTTGACCAGGTGCAGCCCAGGCAGGTAATTCTTAGACAGTGCTGTGTGGACAGAAAGCAATCAGAAGTGTCATTAATTTACATGCAGCATTCCCAAACAGAGGAGCAACTGCTGTCGGGTACAGGAGTATCTTTGCTATTTCCAGCTCCCTGAAGAGGGCCTAGCACTCTAAGAGAGGCCAGGATGAGCAGTTCAGTCCTTCGGGTGAGATAATCTAGCCAGCCTCAGCCAGATGAATTTCATATATGTCACTCGCAAATATTGAAAGACAGTGGCCCCAAGATTTAACCACGAAATCCTATGGGAATAACAGTTTCTAAAGGCACAAGTTCCCTCTCCACTTCTAGTTGGTGGTCATTTTGGGGTGGAAACTATGACAATTAAGCTGGATGAGAGCACCTTGTCCCTGCACTGTGCCAGCCCTCTGGGTTGCCATGGCAGTGCTTCAGGCTGTTGTTCAGCTCAGGATTTGACCTTCTCAAAACAGGAAGCAAACTGGGGCAAGGATAAAAGCACCATCCAAGGTGGTGAGCACCTACCCAAGGCCAGCCCTTCACCTTCATTTTTCATTTAATAATCAGAACCAGTTTGGGGAGGTGGCTATTATTAATTCTATTTAACTGAAGGAAAAATGAGTCTTGAAGGGTTTAGCTAACTGCTGGAAATTCAGCAGTTACTTAGACTCAAGCAGGTCTAAGTTCATACTCCAGGTCTTCCTCCTGCCTCATCCTGTTGTCATAATGCATTTGACTTCATCCTGCCATCTCCCCTGGGGTGTCACTCAGGGCTTCTCAGTGGAAGCAGTCACCCTGGCAGTAAAATGTTCTCCTTTTGGAGATTAAAATAAAAATACGTTTAAATATTTTTAAAATATTAAGTTAAATGTTGAATACATATGCAGGATATTTGCCAGATCAAAAGAATTTTTAATAAATCAAACGCTGCCCTATTTCTGATCCCTGTCACTTCCTGGCTCTGAGATTGTAAGTAAATATTCTAGACAGATAATGGGCTGCAATTGCTTCCAGAGCCCTCTTTGCTGACCTGCTGAGCCACAAAGTGGTAAATGTTAGGTGATACCTCTGCTGTTGGCAGGGAGGCACTCAGGTTGCTAGGACACCTGAGGACAAGATGGAGCCCCTGGGTGGGAGTCCCTGCTCTAGAACAGTGATGCTGGCTGAAGCCATGAGGCCACTTCTGGCTTTGAAACTTGTTTTCTTGGTTCTGACTAGAATATGGGGTTTGGACGGCTTTGGAAAATGTGTGAGAACTGCCCAAACTGGTCCACACCTGTTTGTTTCCATAGCAGGCAGGGCTGTTTTCCAGGCCAGCCTGAGGTCTCCCTGTCCATCTTGGGCCTCAGTTACCCACCTGCTGAGGGCGATCTTCTGGTACAGCAGAAAGCCGCGCTCATAAGGCCAAGGCAGGCCGGCCTCAAACCACTCGCGGCAGCGCAGCACTGGCGAGATGCAGGCGGCACCAGTCATGTAACTGGAGGACCCACATTCGCCCAGGTAGGACAGTAGCAGCGCAGAGCCCGAGCCCTCACTCACTGCGAAGAGTGGGGCCGCAGGGTGTCGGAAGCGAATGTAGGTGACCGCCTCCTTAAGGTCTGACGGGTCCCCAAAAGGTTGCAGCCGAGGGCTGACCAGCGGGCAGCCGTGGTGGCCACGACGGTGGAAGATGACGGGGTAGTAGCCGCGCTCCAAGGCGAGCAAGCAGAGGCCCAGAACGTTACGGGTGAGGCGCCCCCAGGCGTTGGGGATCACCAGCAGCACAGCTGGGAGGCCCCCCGCGCTGGTGACCCGGTGACCCCGGGAGCAAGGTCCTACGACCCAGTCCAGGGCCACCAGCCCATCGTCTGCCAACTGCAAGTACTCCCGGGCCAGCTCAGGCCCCGGCGTGACGGGCAGGACGAAGTGGCACAGGGTCTGCAGGTGGGGCCCGGAGAGCCAGGGTAGCGGTCCAGACTCCAGAGCCTCAGAGCGTCGAAGGGCGCGCAGCAGGCACTGGGCCAGCGCCGACGGCTTACAGAGGAGACTGCAACCGCCGGGCAGCGATTCACGCAGGTCGCTGAACTGATCCTCGGGGCCTCCGCCATCCTCCTCGTCGTCTTGGATCGGGACTCCGGGCTGAGTCCTCGCTCCGACTGGGTGCAGGAGTCTGGGGGCGAGCAGGATTTAGGGTTAGGATTGGTGAGCATGACACGGACGGAATTCACCTTCCAGGTAGTTTGCATGGGCGATGGAAGGTGAGGTCAGCGCCTTTTTTGAAGGTGGGGTCGAATGTGTGTTTCCCGGGTCCTGCCCATGGTGGCCTAGATATAATGGGTAGCGACTGGCTGATGAAGAGGGTTAGCACTCGATTTTGGGGATGGAATAGGCCCCCACATTTTCCTCCCTGAATAATATCATGAGTGTTGGATGGTGAGTATTGGTGTTAATAGGACGTTCAGTGTGAGGAAAGGTGTAGGAGTATAAGTCCCTCCTCTCCGGTCATGGTTCAGGTTAGTGTTAGGGATAGGATTCCTTTGAGTGATAGGCTGGCAGTTTCTCTCCCTGGCTATTGGGGTGTGGGTTTCCTAGTTATTAGCGGCTTGAGATTTCGCCTTAGGCTTAGCCACAGTGCCGGATTTAAAGGACGGCTTCCTGGGAACATAGGAATCAGGTGGTGTCTTAGGGTTAGGTTTAGGGTTGGTGAGCGTGATCCTGAAGGAATTCGCCTCCCGGGTAGTTTGCCTGTGCGAGGTAAGGTGACGCCCAGGGCCCTCCGCGCGGGCGGGCGCGCTCGGGATTGGTCACGGGCCCACAGAGGCAGCCAGTTCGCAGCGAGCTCCCCTCGCCTGCCCCCCACTCCCTCCCGCAGCCCTTTGTACAGTGATTGCGACAAACAGGAGCAGCGGGTGAAAGGGGCCGCCAAAAGGGAGCGAGGGCGTGCAGGCGAACCCAGAAAGAACTGGAGAGGGAGAGGGGTTTAGCAGCCGAGAAGTGGGGTTACCCAGAGGCGAACATAGGGACCATGGGGAGAGCATCGGAGTCCCCGGGCTCTGCCCTATAAAATCTGGGGCTGCCAAGGGAAGCCGTGGTTAGTGGCGCCCTCGAGGACCGCTATTGAGAAGTGAATAACGCAGTCCTGGGCGATTGTCGCAGGGCTCCCAGCCGCAACTGCAGCCAGGCCCGCCGCCCTCCCTCGTCCTGTTTCGCTGCGCTCTTTGACCTCGGAGTTAGTCTCTCTCTGCCCGCTGGAACCCGAAGCTACTCAGCGACACGGCGGGGCTGGGGGCAGCACCCGGTCCGGGAGTGCGAGGTTCAGTCGTCGCGCTTCTGCTGCTCTATTGCCACTGGAAGCTGCTTCTTCCCCTGCAGGCATCGGGGCGCTCCTGAAGACTTCCCCACCCCCAGGAGGAGGGAGGCTCCCCAAGAGTGTGGCCTCAAGTACAGCAAGCCCTTAACAGAAAGGGGTTCCTCAGAAGCAGTCCCAGGTTGAGTAAGGTGAGGGAGAGGACAAGGGGACCTGTCCCCCACGATCAGGCCGTGGCGGGGGTAGACCTCTTCCTCTGTCAGCTCAACATCAGGTAATACTAGAGTGGGTGGGGCACGGAGCCCTTGTAAGCCGGGGACAGGGAGAGGGGGCTGAAATAACACGTGCTTGCTATTTTGAAGTTTTGGTCTGGGCTTCTCAACTCTCACTCTCCACCTTCGTTTCCGTCTTTCCCCCCAAATCCTGAAGAGGGCACAGAGCTGGCGCCTGCTGCCCAAGAGGCCAGGCAGGGCTCTCAGCTAGGGGCGAGGCCTGTAGCTCTCCCCCTTAGCCGGCAGGGACCAGTCTCAGGCCACCACAGGGCGAAAGACGACAGAGGACGGGGCAAAGGTGGGGAACAAAGCAGCTCCCTGGGCAAATCCAGCTTCCTGGGGCTTCTGAGTCTGGGGAGAGAGGGGGATCTGAGGCCCCGTGAGGGTCCTCGGGGCTAAGGCCCTATTTGCTAGGGCGGCAGTGGGATGGGTTAAAGGTGAAGCTTTAGAGCCAGGTTTGTCTCCCTTCAGCAGCTCAACTTTGGGGTTCGGGCTATTTTCCAGTTGCTGGTCACACCGGTGTGTTTGAAGCGTGTTGGCCAGGAGAGTATACCAGGCTCCTCCCCCTGAACCATCCAGTCCAAAGGGATCCCATTTCCCGCCCTTTGCCCGGCTCCCGGATCCGACCCGGGCGCTGCAGCTGCGCCCCTGCAAGTCGCTGGGAGGCGCCGGGGCGAATCCTAGGGGTAGAGAGACGGCCTCCGCCGGCCGGGACACGACGCTCTCCCGC